CTGATTAAATAAACTACCTCGTCTTCATGCCAACTTGAAGTTATCATTCATTGCCTACATCAGTGACTTCAAAATACATGTTTTAATCCCAGGAATTTCACTTGCTATTAATTGCATGGGACTGCCAGTCTTTCATGATTTTCTATTGTAATATCAATTTTGCGATTACTCTGAACATGAAGCTGTAACCACAGATCGAGAGCGTCCAGGTGCTGTAATTAAATCCTCGTATAAGCACCGGTTAGGCAGGCTTGAACTATGCATGTGAAGCCAGCCGAGAGGTATATTCAATCCTATAGATTCCTCATTGTTTGGTAACTATTTGCTGCAAATGCAACAAAAATCAATATAAAAATATTACCCACACAGCATTCTACAGGTTACTTGTTATATTCAGTAGCTGTTCATGGTTCTGTAGTACACCTGCACTGATTCTCACGTTTAAGTGTGGGAAATCAGCTCACACGTGTACTGAGGTTCAAGGTATACATTTAATGTGTCTTTTAAATAGCTATAAAAAGCGATAAACAGCATATCTTATACCAATATACGATGAGGACTGCTCTGATGCAACTTAATACTGTGTATCAGTTATTATCATACAAAGTGTCGTATAATGACTTGCGAATAAAATATATCCTAGAAAATTTCCTTATTGTTGCCACAATAGACAAATGTATTTATTTAATGAGCACCACTAATGTGACTTGTGTTAGAAACCATGTCAAGTTTATTTTCTATGTAATTAAGAAACGTAATTCAACAAGACAGATTAATTTTGTACTATTAATGAAATGTAACTTTTCGTTTATTTATGTTCTGAGTTGTTATCCTAGTTACCATGCAAATTTTAGCACAAATAAATATTAAGCGCTCTGTAATACATTTTTATATATTTTACTTGTACTTATAGGCCGGTGGCCTCTGCAGCAATACACGACATTATGTCAGTTAAACACCACCACTAGTCAGGAACACAGTGGCAGTAGAAAACATATCAGCAGCACTGTTTACAACCACACTTCTTTGTCCATGGATTTACAAAACAGTGCACTACTAACAGTTTTTTTCCCTTTTTTACCATTTACTAAGAAAGTACTCATTTTTATTTCAAATAGTCGGTGTTTACTTGTTTAATTGTTAGAAACCATGGCTGTTTACTAGAAAATGACTTCGTTGAAATCTGTCCGCAGTTGCTATTAAGTGGACTGTTTTTGTTTTTTTCTGCACGAGTTGTCGTTACATACGGTAGAATGTTTCGGAGAATATTGTTGATTCAACTCAAACTTTAATGCATGTATTAGAGAACAATTGGCCAATGACCTGTAGTAATTACACCTGATTTGTGTACATATATTAGTAATCTACACGTTGCTTTTGACAAAAAACCACCTGTTTATTTCATTCAGTAAAGTGAACATACAGTCGTTGGTATGAACTAAGGATATTCCTACTTAAAAATTACAATTTTACATAGTCTGAAAGGCATTCTAGTAAACGGCTCCGGGTACATGGGAATTATTGAGAACAAAGTATTGTTGTTGCAATTTTGAATTGGCCGGTGCATTGACCGAAGTGAATTAGTTAGCTTTGTCAACCTCGTGTTACTGTAAAATTTCGGCAATCATTAACTAATAAGGGTGTGTTGATCATTACAACTACGTCACCTTTAGCATCATATATCTAGTCTATAATGTCATCATCACATTATTCGACACCGTCGTAGCTAACACCGGACCTAATTCCTCCTTGGAGTCAGAATTTATCTTTACAGACCAAACCCGACAGACAGGGTCACACGTAGTGGTTGACACACAATTGGGTAAGCAAAAATATGACCATCTAGTTGTGTTGAAACATCCCAGTTATATATGCGTCATGTATAAATGTGTACGTCACGATAGTACAAAGTTCATCGTCGTGAGGAAACAGTAATATTAGGCAAAAACCATACCAACATAGCAGAAGCCTGACATGTCCGTATCCATAGTACTAGCATACGAATCTCTATTGCTCCGCTAGATTAAAGGTATTGGTTACCGGTTGATACACTATAACTATATCGAAGTACTGTAATTCATTGGGACTAGAATTGACAAACAAATACAAAGAGAAGTGTTGCTGTGCGAGGATGGGTGCCAAATGGCGGCAGTTTAAGTGGTTGTTATGGAAAAACTTTATTTTACAAGTGAGTGTCAGGTTTTTATCAATATCTTGGACAGGGCAAGTGTCTTTTGTAATTACGTTACGTTATGCCCATTTGTTGAAAAGCTATTCTTGTTTTAACTGTCCCCATTCTGTCTCTCTGGGCGATGAGTGGTTCGTACGTATCATTGTATATTTTTTCTTCATGTAAATAATTAAAAAAATCAGATTTATGAAATGTGTTGAAAAAAACTAAACTGAAATTGGTATTAGCTCTAGTTTATGTACATCTTCCGATTTATCTCATAACCACGCCCATACAAGGTCTCGCATGTGACTCACATCCACCACCTAAGTGATGACCTCGAACTCTCACAGTAGCCCAGAAAGGTCAGTTCATTGCCATTGCTGAAATTTCTCCACTTTGTTATTGCCTGTTAAAAATAACCCCGAAGTGCTAATTAAATCGAAACACGTTTTTGAATGATAAAGAAAACACAGTTCTCTCTCACAATTCATGGCAACAAACGAGAGTATAATATATGATTAATTAAAAACTACAAACTTCGCCATCACGTTCAGCGTCGCAGCTTTGTATTTCGGGTGGAAATAATTTCTACTGTATTATATTTATATTGGCAATTTTGGACAATCGGAGGGGACAGTGACAATTAGTGAGTTTCTTGAACAATTAACAATTAAAATATATAGGTATAAGTGCGCTGTATATTTTGTAGCTAACAAGTAGCGGTGCGTGTACATACATCGCCATATGAAGTACACAGTTCAATTTGATGAAGGTATCGTTGCGGAGATGTCACGAACGTGAGGCAGACCGGATAATGACCGTTTACTGGACTGATAGTTTATATATAACCGTAACACACAATACATCTTGATAATAAAAAGATCTGAAACTAACGCATTCAAATCAAAGGATATAATATGTATACCGTTGTATTTGTGTGGTAACATCAACCACAAGTTTTTATTCATAATCAGTGTTTTGGATTTTCCGGTGAGGTGAACAAACTATGATGCTCATTTGCTGACCGCGTGTCACACGAGAACGAGGGCAGCTGTCAGGCAGACATTTTGACCCAGTTATAGGAACAAACTATATTAGTAAAGTTAATGACATAGACTCATGTTTTAATGATTTCGCCTTATAATCACGTTTCACAGGATTACGAAAACAACATTAGAAATCTGTTAATATATTTATCAACATTTTGTCTAATTTGACATGTCGTAGTTTGATTGACAACCCTTTGTCTCATTGATGTCCATTACACACAGATAGTCTGAACGTTATTAATGTTTTTGTGGCCGAAAAGCTCGCACATTGATATTTAGCCCTGAAATAAATAAATCTATCTATCTATCTGTTCGTCTAAGTATTTTCAATGCTATATTCATACTATGACTGATAAAATGATGCGAAAGGATGAAAGAAAGGATGCGCTGCAGCCATAAACAGCACAAGGAATCATCAGTTTTGTTTTACCCCCCATCCGACAGATTGCCATTCCAACTAGCAATTTTGAAAACCCAGAGCCCAATTTTACTACAATTTTATCGTCATCGACGATTTAGTACACCTGTACTAAAAAAGAGACTCCTTAATCGCATTGACAAGAACAAAAATTATAATTAAAGAACATGTTGGTTGCCTACCTACATTTAGTACAAGTGACCATATATAAATATATTTGTTTTTAACCAGTTACTTACAGAATATTTATGCGAAGGAAAATATATTTTTGCTTGTTTCGTCGACCTACAAAAAGCCTTCGACTCCATATGGCATGAGGGTCTTATGATTAAACTTGTCCAAAATGGCATTACTGGAAAATTCTACAAAATCATTAGACTAATGTATTCAAACTCCACAGAATGTGTAAAAGTAAAAGAAGGCCTAACTAAGCAATTTCCAATCCAGAAAGGTATAAGGAAAGGTGATGGATTAAGTCCGTTGCTATTCAATACATACATAACGACATTAAAAGACACATTGATCTATCATAAAATGATCCACCAACTTTACTCGACAGTCAGTTGTCATGTCTTTTATGTGCAGATGATCTTCTTTCGCTGTCAAAGTCACACACTGGTCCAGGATTACAAAATGCATTGAACACACTTGAGATTTATTGCAAAAAATGGCAACTAGAAATAAACATCTCAAAATCAAAATCAACCATTTTCAATAAATAAGAAAAAACTTGAAAAGGTTTCTTCTTATACATATCTGGGTATTAAAATTAATTCCACAGGGAAACTTTACAAAGCCCAAATTGACTTAAAAACAGAGCATGAAAGCTCTATTTAGTCTAAAACAGCAATTATTTTCAGAAAAAAATGTCCCTGTTTGATGCAGTGGTCAAACCAATTTTGCTTTATTGCTCATACGTTTGGTCATGTGATAACATCAAACAATCGTCAAACCTATCAAACTGCACAACACCAGCAGAAAAACTCCATCTGAAATTATGTAAATTTCTTCTAAAAGTTGGCTGTAAAGCCACAAACATTGGTTGTCTGATGGAACTGGATCGCTACACACTGCTCTTATCAAGTCTGACACAAATGTTTAAATATTGGCTGAAAATTGCTAATAAGCCGGAAAATACACTGGTCAATGAATGTTACAGACTATGCGTAAAAACTGATGAAACAGGCACCTACAACTGGGTATCAAGTATTAAACGTCTACTCAAATTATTAAACATGAGTGACGTATGGAATAAAAGCAGTGATAACCATGTCAATCCAATCTCTATATTTAAAGAAAAATTGCAACTTCTTTTTCAAAAAAAATGTCAAGGAATCACTACACGATGACAACAAAGGCGGAATCCACACAGATAAACTACGAACATATAGAGAAATAAAACACCTTTGAAAATTATCCGGAAACTATTAATCTATTACATAGAATCAGTGCACACATACTGCAAATAGACATAGGAAAACATAAAAATATTGATCTGATCGAAAGAAAATGCTTAATATGCAATAACAATAGTCGGACCGAGAATGAAACACACTTCCTTATACAATGCAATTATTACAAAAAAAGAGAGATGACCTCTTCAACAAACACAACCTACTCCGGGACAATTACTCTGACTATGAAAATTTGATAAATATACTACAACTAAAAGGTAAACAAACATTAAAAGAGTTAAGTAAATTTATTTACAAGTGTTTCACTATAAAGAAAGACAGTTTAAACAAGGATTTCCAGCTGCCTAATAACAAAGAAACACTATTTTCTTCTTTTTCTCTCTTTCTAACTGTTATGTATTTCATTAGCTATATTTAGTTATATTTGTAATATTGTTTGATCAATAGCACATTGTGGATACGATTTCATTATTATTATTATTATTATTATTATTATTATTATTATTATTATTATTATTATTATTATTATTATTATTATTATTATTATTATCTGGCGGCGGCGTTAACCTGTTCTAGATTGAACGATTTAATTGTAAGTGTTTAACATATGTTACCCGAAAGGCATTATTTTACAATATTTAGACACTGTAGAGTTTTTGTTCATGACCTATAAATAATTGTTCCCATAGATAAATATTGTTTGTAGTATGTTACCGCTTGCATGGTTACCACTCAAACGATATAAATTCAACAGATACCGGTAATGCGTTTTCTCTTATTCTTCAGTGGCGTCGGCCAATAGGTTCCGGATTCGAGCTCTTAACACCAGT